TTTAGTTGTCAAACACCCTCGATCGTTGTAAGTTATAGAGACCAAGGCTCACGCGTCCTTCTGTACGCCCACCTATCGCCTCTTTAATACCACAATTCATCCTACACTCACTTCTTAGCTGTCGTAGGCTTCCTGATCTTCTCTACTTTGCCAACACCTAGTTCACACGATCTTGGTATGCTTCGAACCAATTGACATGACCCTCAATAGCCACATACTGAATTGATCACTAATCACTAATTCCAGCTTAGCTCACTATTCATTGGCTACGTTTGGATATGGGATTTCAAAACGTACAACACACGCGAGTAAAAGCTGCCCGGGCCCACACGGCGTCTCTTTGCGCTTTGCGCGCCATCGGCCAATCCCGTGGCGCTGATGGTCCGCAGCACAAAACCACACCGTTGTGGCCGCGTGCAAAACACAGCGATTCTTGTGCGTGTCGGAAAACTATCAACACGTGTTTGACTATTTCTCCCACCGTGTGGCCCAGATTTCACAGCGTGTGGCGAGTGCTGCCTGTCGTCAAGTTCCACACCGGCTCCTAGTAACCCCGACCAATTAGCAGAGGTCAACCGAGTCACGTGATCTTAACTTGCGGTTGCAGCGCGGTTGCACTGCGCGTACACGCACGTACACGCAGATTCAGCGCACGTACACCGCGTTTATATCGCAACGTACACGCGCGTGACACGCACGTGCACGCGGGTACACGCACGTATCTACGCGCGGACACGCGGGTACACGCACTGTACACGCCAGATACACTGACGAGATACACTACAGATACCACGCACGTACACGCGGTGTACGCACGTGCGCTCGCGGTACACGCCCACCGTACTCACGCGGTGCACGCCGGGCAATACACGCACGTACACGCCCACGTACAGCGCGGCATACACGCACGTACACGCGGGTACACGCGGATACACGCACGTACACGCATACACCATCGCGTACCACGGACTGCGTACACCGGAGTCACAGCGCAACGCTACACGCGGTCACACGCACGTACACGCGGGTCACAGCTCCACCGTACACGCGTACACGCACGTACCCGCGCGAGTACTATCCGCGCGCTATCACGCACGCTACCACGCGGGTACACGCGTAATATCGCGGCCCGCACCTTCCGCCTGCGCGCGATACACGCACCGTACACCACGTACAACGCGCGCGGACACGGCACGTACACACGCAGATTTCCCCGCCGCCTACACGCACGTACCCGATACCCCCCGCACTCATATTTCTCTCGAGTACCCCTATCTAGTCTCCTCCCGTCCTCTGTCGTCACCGACTTCTCATCCTGCTATCTTCCAGCCCCTCACCATTCCCGCCAGATACACCACGTCCAGGTCTCCCGCGCCCTTCAGGCCTCGTACTACGCGCACGTGCCAGACTGCGCGGCGCTTGTACTTTCCTCCTCGCTACCGTACTATCGCCCTCACTCTGCGTTGGAGCTTACACACGAGACGCCACGCACCGTACACCTCTGCTCCCCTTCCCCCCGCACCTTGTCACCACCGCTGGCCGGTACATTCGCCAAACGTACACGCAGCACTAACACGCACGCTACCACACAGCACTACAGCGCACGTACACACGCGGCTACCGGAAGAATACACGCACGTACACCGCCACAAACGCACTCAGCGCCGTGCGGCTACACTTCACGTCTACACGAGAATAGCACGCACGGACACGCGAGGCGCTTACTACGCGGATACACGCAGTCCAACGCGGTACACGCACGTACGTATCACGCACGTACACACCCAGATACACGCACTACACGCCCGTCTCACGCAGCGGTGCACGTTAGCCGTGTACCCGCGTAGCACCACGTGCGCGTGTCATCTCCCGTGCCTTACCGCGCTGTAGTCGGGTACCCCGCGGCACGTGTTCCTTCTCCCCCCCTCGCAGTGCCGTGTACCCGCCTGTACCGTGCGTGTATCTCTGTGTTCACGTGCGCACTCGTATCTCTGCGTGTACGTCGCGTCGCTATCGCGTCTTGTACCCGCGTGTACGTCGTGCTACACGTCGGCGCTCGCATCGCGACCTCCTCGATGCACCCGCGCCTGTACGTTGCGTGTACGGTGCGCTCTACCTGTCGTTTACGTGGTGCGGACCCGCCGTGTCACCGTGCGTGATCTGTGGGTGCTACGTGCGGGTCACCGCCGGTCCCTCCTTGTACGTGCGCTCGTATCCGCGTGTACGTGCGTGTACGTGCGTGTAATCCCGCTGTGCTACCGCTGTCGCTACGTTCTGTCAGGGCGTGTACCTGCCGTGTACCGTGGCGTGTACGTGCGCTGTACCCTGCCGTGTTACGTGCGCTGTACCGCGGTAGTACGCTGCGCGTACCCGCGTGACCCACTGGCGGTCTTCCCCTATGTACCAGCGTGTACGTGCGTATACCCGCGTGTTACGTGCGTGTATCTGCCGCTGTAACGTGCGTGTACCGCCAGTGCAACCCGCGCTGCCAACCGCAAGGCTTAAGATCACGCTGACTCGCTTGACCTGCTTGCCTGATTCGGTCGGTTACATAGAGCCGGTGTGGCACTCTGACACAGGCACAGCCGCAACGTTGTGGAATCTGCCACACGTGAGAAGAAACTTTATCAAACACGTGTGATATTTTCCACACGCCAAGAAATCGCTGTGTTTGCACGCGGCCACACGGTGTGTTTGTGCTGCGCCATCCAGCCACGCGTGGCCCGATGCCGCCAGCCACAAAACCACACCGTGTGCGGCAGCCCTTAAAGCCCGCCGCTACACCTACCACAAGAAAGTCGGTCCCGATTTCAAAAATCGCTTCATCGTTTGCTAAAATCGGCCTCATCGCGACGCTTCCGATAAAACACCGCCCACACCTAACGATAAACACCCGCCACACCTACGATTAAATTTCTGCAAGGGTCTAAGGCTTTTCTCTACGGGTAAGCGCATTTTGAATGTCATGTGACACGGGACGTTCAGCTATGGCTGTTCAATATTATCTGCACACGATTTCCTGAGTTCCACGCGCCACACCACAAAATCGCGTCCAAATAATCGGCTTCAAATCAAACATGTTTGATTTGGAACGATCACCCGATAAAAATAAAATCGTCTACAAATGAACGCGCACACCTACCCGATATCGGCTGATTTCTATCGGGCCGATCAAATCGCGTGAAAAATCGGCTGGTGTGCGGCGGCCTTTACAGTACAAACAAGCTTTTAAATTTTCTCAATTTTATCGGTTCTCACCAGCGTGTAACCTATGTTTATGCGCATGGAAGAACGGTATAAGAGGATATTGAGATATGTCATTTGTATCCTCTTAGGCCCACTGCTCACGTATCATGTCGGATTTATTCATAAAATGTCGATTTTAACTGACATAAACAACAGTTTATCCTGTACTTGTGGAATTCATGTGGTTGGGAATATGTAATTGTTTTTTATTCATATCTTCGTAATTTCAATCTGGTAGCAACGTGATTATACCCAGCACACACACATGCACATAAGCATGCACACGCACGCACGTAGGCCTACGCCCGAAGGTTTATACACGCGCGCAGTATTTGGTCCATCGACCGTATAAGATTGCCTTTCACACAGATAATAGCGAACTCACCCTAGGGGAAACGCGTGGTTCACTTGTGTGACACCATCAAAGACGTTTGTATCGTATACTCCTATTCGCGTTTGTTGCTGTATGAAACCCTGAGAGGCAAAACTCGCTTTCCGTGTTTTCACTCTATACTAGTTTAGTATCAGGGGCGGACTTGAGGGCAGGTCCTTTTTACCTTGTTTCCACAAGTTTGCCTTTCTGGTATCCACTCCTCACACTCTCATGTGAACATCTCGTCTGAAGTTTTTGTTCGCGGTTTTTCTTATCTCGTCAGTTACTATTAATTTGACTGCTAGGTGGCATGATTCCATTTTCCTGACGGAATTCGAAAACCAACACGGTTGCTGATGCTCGCTCGATTGTAAACGGCGTCTAAATAACCCCCGATTTTGATTGATATATACTATTAATCGTAATATATCGATAAAATCAATAATATAATTATATCGAGGAAACATATATTTTTCAATATAATTTTATACGGGCGAGTTAAATTTAAAACTCGGGATAAATTGTGTAAATTTTGTGAGAATTGTGTTTAGTGCTTTTAATGCTATCACGATAATGAAATCGTGACGTTGAGGTCTAACTAGTTTTCTGTACTCCGAAATCGTGTGAGTTGGCGGACAAACCTCCTCCGTCAAGGTTCACTAATTCCAATGACGTTGTCAGTACGAAGATGTGCGTCATAGAAATTTATCACGCGAGGGCAGGTGTCTGGCCGCGGGGCAGTCAACTAGCTGCTGGCCTTCGAACTACGGCCCTAGTAGGTCGCGCGGTTTCTATATATTGCTCTCTACCGTCGGTTTAGTTTATTTTCCTATCTAGCAAATCGCGTATTATCAAAGAAACATTTGCGCGCGCATTTTACAACATTTAAATTGCATTGAAGTACGTAAAAACTGAATCGCAATTAATACGGAAATAATGTGCAGTAAATATTACATCGCAGCACCGCTCATGGAGCATCACGCATTATCGGAAAGGTTGCAATATAATACTTGTGTAAAAAAGAAAATTAGTCTAGAATCTCAGAGTATCCTATAATACTTGATACTTGCATACAAATGGTATATGCTGACATATTTTCGTTATCAGACATTCAACCCTCTTATTAAAACGTCAAATTCTAACGTCTAAGCTAATGGTCATCGAAAGTTTTAAACAAATTTCTAGTAAATGTGAAAACAGTACAAAACGTATTTCTCCTAAATATTAAAATACACAATTTTTTGTAGCAAAATTTGAACCCACTATAAATATAGCTATATGCATTAAACTTACGGAAAAGTAGGTTATATAATACCTTACTATAAACCCTTAATCAACATTACTAGATAGATAGCTCGTATTACATTTTGAACTTCGACAGATCGTAACAATGGAGCTGCCAGCAGGCAGGACAAGGCCTGTCTTCTATCTAGGATCCTGTAGCCCACCGCTCACATCATTACATGATGAATGCATCAAGATTTTCCTCGCGGAAGGGAGCGGGGAAACTACCAGAAGCTGAGCGCAGCGACGAGCAGAAGGAAGCGACAAAGGAAGGCGGCAAGCGTCACACACTACCCTTTAGCTTTGCTAGGAAATTCAGCTTAAAGTCTCCAGGTAAAATAACGGGAGACGCATGGAGAACTATCGTGAGGAATTATTCGGATGATGACGCGTGATGGAAATCAATGTGCAACAAGGCTCGCTACGAAAGTTGGACGCGCATGTATGTCGATCATTCGCGACGCAAGAAAGAGCGCGCAATCGACAATTAAATCCCTTACGCGTCTATAGGCAGTTCATGAATATCCGCCCTCTCTAACTATTACGGCTGTTAGTGAGCGCGTCTATTTCTCATGTTGTACAGGAGAGAAGTGGGGAAACAGGAAGGCACACGCGGCCACGGGACTTGTCCCTGAGAAATCGGAGAAGCCGTATGAGCCGCTTAGCAGCAGTCAGCAGCCTGGCCGCCTGTCTCCGCAGCCCGCCGGTAGGCAGTCGTCGCCCCAGGCCGGGTCGAGACTTTCCCCGCAGATCGCTCACCGTCACTCTCCCAACAAGCTCTCTCCCAAACGCAGCTTCCACGGATGGGCGCAGCGCAACAGAGAGAGACTCTCTCCGACGACGACACCAACGTCGACGTCGACGATGACGACGCCAGACGAGAGCAGCGAGGTGGAGAGCATACACACGAGCCACAGCTACAACGCTCTGGCCGTAGCGCCCCCTGCGGAATCCACGGCGGCTAAACAGGAGAAGCACAAGTCGCCGGGAAGGCTGCGCAGGCTGCTACGGAGGAGCCACAGCACGGCGGGTCCCAGCGACGCCCCGGCCTATGCCCTCTTCCTGAACCACGAACGAGAAAAACAGGTGAACATCTCTCGGCACATCCACTTGCGGCTCGATTAAACGTGCTATATGCAGTCTGCGTGTTATAAGAGGGCAATACACTCGTTTACCCTTACATTCGTTAGATATTTAGGGTTGCGAGTGTTCAGAATTTGATGTCGACATTGCACTAAATATATGTCGCGTGCAGTTGCGACAATGTTGAAACTGGCCGTGTGTGACGTTAGTAGGCCTATGTGGTAAATAGCCAAATTTTAGCCTTGGGTTATAAAAACGCAATTGTGCGTAAGGGGTTAGTAACCAGCCCACCTGGTGTGAAGAGGGAATTTACTCAACAAGCATGACAAACTCAGGGTTGGCTGCTATAGCCGCGTTCACACGTAGCAAGAAATCCGGTATTTAGCGTTCACACGAGGCAAAATGCGCGGTCCAAGAAATACGGTATCTAAACAGATCCGGTATTTCATGTAAATACGCGACTGTGCTCCAGACCCCAGAATATTTGGCTAGGATACACCGATATATTCCGAATAACGAGGCTTATATAGCCTCGTTCACACGAGACCGTATTTATGAAATATCGGCTATTATGCGAAATATCCTAATCTGAGACAAATACGGCGGCCGAGGGTTCACGGAACGCTGATTCGGCGCTCCAGAATGACGGTAATTTCTGGCGAGCTGCCGAGCTGCGTTGTCGTAACAATCACAGCAACCGAATGCGAAATACACCAATGCAATGCGACCAACTGTCGATAAAATACGTAGACTGGTCCGTGCTCAGACAGTCTCCACTGCGGCATTCACACCTCGGAACTCGTCCCGCAGGCACGGACAAGTCCTATAAAATATGCGTCGGTTCAGAATACCGGGTATTTATGCGTTCACAGAACGAGAGAACTGCGCGGTCCGAGAGATCCGGTATTTTCAAGCATCGGCAATAATTAATGGGTCTGGGAAGCTGCGTCATTTACATCAAATACGGATCTGTTATAGATGACCCGTCATTTCTGTGACGGCAGCTTTTGCCTCGTGTGAACGCTAAATACCGTATTTCTTGCTACATGTGAACGCGGCTAATATGTAGGCTATTGCACATTGCAGGGTATACACAAGAAATTTTCCATGCCAACGTCATCGAGTATCTTCCGCCACGATGATGACGCGAACGCAGAGCTGCCAACGGATGAGAGTTCTTTATCGGCAAAGAACAAGAAGAGCTTGTAAGTTTATCGAAATCTCGAATGAAGCGAGTTAGTTATGTAGATTTGAAAGAACAGAAAAAGAGGGGTAAAGTGTGTGTAGTGTGTGTGCGTGTGTGGTGCGTGTGTTGGTGGTGGTGGGGGGGGCGGGAGATCGAGCAAGGAAGTGCGCAGGCGATAGCTAGCTAGATAGATGGACAGGTAGATGGACGGATGGATGGGTGGGTGATTCGATGGATGGATGGATGGATGGATGGATGGATGGATGGATGGATGGATGGATGATGATGGATGGATGGATGGATGGATGGATGGATGGATGGATGGATGGATGGATGGATGGATAGATGGATGGATGGATGTATGCATGTATAGATGAATCGATGGGTAGATGGATGGATGGATTTGTGGATAGATAGATAGGTAGATAGATAGATAGATAGATAGATAGTTAGATAGACAGGTAGATAGATAGATAGATAGATAGATAGATAGATAGATAGATAGATAGATAGATAGAAAGAAAGAAAGATAGATAGCTTAATTGATAGATCGATAGCTAGAGAGATGGGGGAAAGAGAGAAAAAGAGTACATCCGAGATAACATATGGTTTTCTTTGGTATTTTTATGTGTCACATCGCCGCAGAACGAAGGATATAAAGTCGAAGTTCAAGGCATTGCGCAGGCGCCACACGGTGAGCGCCCTGCACGGGTCATCCGGTAGACCGCAGGGCGAGAAATCGGTGCGACCCACACAAGCTACAGCTCTCTCATGGGCAGACAGATTCGACACTCTCCTACATGACAAATGTGAGTTATGAACCATGCATGCAGAGATTTATCTGCACGACGCTGTCGCTATCCGACGTTGGTCTTGACGTTCATGCATACCACTCTTCCATTGATAATAGAGGGGGGGGGAGAAGAGACTTCCATAGATATTATGTCTTTCCCCAGTTCGCGGTTGGCAGCTTCGCGGTTGGTAGCAAAATCGCAATGGCAGCTTTCCCGCGTCCCGGTTGACTTCTAGTGCCGAATAACGAAAAATTCATCCGGTATTTCCCGGTTCCCAGATACGTAAAATGGTTCAGTCCCACCCCTTCATGAGAGTTCTTCGCACATCAAATAGTAATGTGTCTGACTAGTTGCACCTCCAACAAGCACGAGCCAATAAATCTAATCAAATCGTTTAGCGAATATTATAAAGCTACGTGGGATTAGATTTTTTATCCACGTGATTATCGTGGACATTTATACATATTCTGACATTTCAGACACTCATTTATATCAACGTTGTTCCATGAATACAGAACCTGTCTATATCGAATGGGTGTATTCTGAGTATATCATTGTTGAAAACAGAGAGGCCACATGTGACGATGTGTTATGGCGTGAACACAACATAACAGAGCAGGCTGCGCTACCACACTATATATTGATTACTGATAATAATAATAATAATAATAATAATAATAATAATAATAATAAAATTAATATAGGCAGCTTCTTATAGCGGCTATTTTATTTACTACGTATTGATGCCACAATACAACTGTTTCATCTACAATTGGCCGGTCTACGTGTGTATTATCAAGACTCGATGTCGATGTAGTTTTATATAAAATGTATTAACAGTGGTCCGGCTTTTTCGCTAGGCGTCCCTTTCGTGGCATGAATTCGTGTTAATATTTGACAGATGGACTCTCACTATTCATGGCTTTCCTGAAATCCGAATTCTCCGAGGAGAATCTAGAATTCTGGATTGCGTGTGAAGAGTTTAGCCACCTGAGACCTGGAAAACTCAACTCACGTGCAAAGAAAATCTATGCTGATTACGTGGCGATTCAAGCACCACGGGAAGTAAGTGCTCTGCCAACATTTCACCCGATTTATCTAGAATTTTGTCGATTATCGTAAGAATAGGTATAGTGGTCGGAATCATACGAGAACTGGCAAGAAGACTATTTGAAATCCTTGCTTATGACTCGATGAGGTCAGTGTCGAGTGTCACCACTTTTATTTAGCGATGTTTTTAGTACGCAATATGCACAATTTCATGGATATATATTTTGATATATAATGGGTCTAAACTTATTCTTGGATCACTTGGCAAATTTTTTATTTAGAGAGCAATAACAGCAGGGGTAGCGCCAGAGAGGGGGGCTACATCCAGAATTTTTTCTCAGTCGCTTCTTATCCGTATAGCGCCGCGCTAGTTGCAGTAACTTATGGAAGTGGTTAGCAGGATGAAGGGCTGATTTACAAGAATTCGACATATTACAATGTATTAACAGATATATAGCAGACAAATATTTCCTGTTAATACCCCGAAGATACCATTTCAAAACTTGGAATTTCGAAGCCTTAGCATTCGGTCACCTACTCGCAATGTGAGTTTAGCCCCCGTCGGAACATTAGACCCCCGTCGGAACAATAGCCCCCCCCCGTCGGGACCTTAGCTCCCCGTCGGGAGCCTATTTTTCTCGATCGGGGGACCCTTCCCTCCTCTCTGTTAGGGGAACTTGCCGGGCAATCTCGATAGCAACACCGGCGATCACATAACTCGTGACCGTTTGATCTACTGTGCTGCCGCAGGTAAATCTGGACTCAAAAACTCGCATCGCCACGATAAGCGCTCTAGCAACACCAACGCCCTCTACGTTTGATCCGGCGCAACACCGCATACAAGGTCTAATGGAGAAGGATTCGTACGGACGCTTTCTCAAGTCTCCTCTCTACTTGGAACTCATTAAAGACAGCAAGGACTCTCAGGGAGAAACCCCCTAACGTTATAACGTTTGGTACCGTTTTTAAATGATATGTTAAACCTAGTCACTCATATACCTTAATTGCTTGTAGTGTCTATACCACTATTAGTATTACCAGGGTAGATGTATTCTTTCGGACTCAGGTAGGTAGTGAGGTGTATTTAGGCATTAAAATATTAATTTTACTTTTTAGTTTCGTAGTACGTTTTTACAAAAGTTGTGTTACTACGGCAGTGTAATATGTTACAGCGGAGGGGAAACTTTAAATTTGATTATTGTATGCATTATATTTAAAGACGTAAAATCGTCCTGCAAACGTATACGGTGTACTTATACATTCTAACAAAACAAATACGTGTATGTGTCAATTCTTCCATCTTTGATTTCAAATATTTTAGTTGATTACCAAGGCTTCATGATTATGCAGGGGTGAAATAAACGTAACCGAACGTAACCGAATGGACAACTATTTTTTTCACGAAATATTGGCATTAAAACAAAGGTTATCGATATTGAAATAGCTAAATAATTAACATGACATGAGAATTAAATTAAATATAAAAGAATGTGAATATAGACATTCATGTTCTGGGTACTTGCAACTATAGCCGCGTTCACACGTAGCAAGAAATCCGGTATTTAGCGTTCACACGAGGCAAAATGCGCGGTCCAAGAAATACGGTATCTAAACAGATCCGGTATTTCATGTAAATACGCGACTTCCCAGACCCCGAATAATTTGCTAGGAATAACCGATAATTTCCGAATAACGAGGCTATAAGCCTCGTTCACACGAGACCTCGTATTTATGAAATATGGTATTTGCGAAATACCGAATCTGAGACAAATACGCGGCCGAGCGTTCACACGCTGATTCGCGGCTCCAGAAATACGGTATTTGCGAAATACCGAATCTGAGACAAATACGCGGCCGAGCGTTCACACGCTGATTCGCGGCTCCAGAAATACGGTATTTGCGAGCTGCGAGCTGCTTTCGTAACAATCAAGCGAACAATGCGAAATCAACAATGCAATGCGCACCAACTGTCGATAAAATACGTAGACTGGTCCGCGCTCGAGAGTTCCACTCGCATTACACTGGAACTGTCGAGCACGGACAAGTCTATAAAATACGCGGCTTCAGAAATACGGTATTTAGCGTTCACACGAGGAAATGCGCGGTCCAAGAGATCCGGTATTTCTCAAGCACGGCAAATTAATCGGGGTCTGGGAAACCGCGTATTTACATCAAATACCGGATCTTTTAGATACCGTATTTCTTGGACCGCGCATTTTGCCTCGTGTGAACGCTAAATACCGTATTTCTTGCTACGTGTGAACGCGGCTTATGTTGCGCCAGCTAACCGTTATGCCACCTGTGCCGCAGATAAGGCACTGTATGCCACAAACTAACAAGAAGCCAACATAGCAAGCAGCTAGTGAAATTTATTAAAATATACTTGCAAAAGCCGAAAAACACAAGGAGTCAGGGTCAGTCAATGAGACAGGTTTTAATAATTTGCATCTATTAAAGTGCCCCAGTGAAACACGGTATTATAAAATACAATTAACTTTAATCATTTGGTCAAGCTCGTTCAAACACGTGTACACGCACCCACACACGCACGCGCGTACGCACACACCTCCCTCTTAGACTAATGCACACTACCTTCTCCGATGATAAACCACGTTACAATAACAACCGCAATAGTACATACAGTCGTTTTTTGGCCTCATAAGAAAATTAGCCACACCGTGCACACTCCATTGACCATGTACTCGTGTATGTGCTATACAGATTTTGCAGTGTTTCCAACACCGGGCATGTGTCCGAACATATGTGCCAGCTTGTTCTATGTAGAACATCTTCCTTGCAACCGAGCGTAACAGCAATTGACTTTCGTTATGCAGTACCTTTAGCGGTAGTCACACATGTGGTACTACGACTATATGGTTCATTGATTGCCAAACGTGACCATATGAAAGCTTCCTCATGTTAATTACTTGAGTAGTGCACGATAACCACTACAACCAGTGTGCACTGACCACGGCATGGTTTCTACACGCACGCACGCACGCACGCACGCACGCACGCACGCACGCACACACACACACACACAACCACTGCATGCTTGTTATCCTGCTCACTGTGTTTTGTGTAAGCTGACCAGTGAGTATTGTGTCTGACCACAATGAGTGAGTTGGCATATTCCTACCATAAGGAGATGCATGTGCAGTATTTACTATATGCTACTGCATTCTTCTGCTACCAGCGACTAGCACGTGAAAAATGCAAGTGGTTTCACATCGGTCTGATTTGTAAAATACAAAAAGAGCAAATAATAATTTAATCCGGATTCAGCACTGGTTTAGCATCGGGCATCGTGGGGGGGCACTACATATGATCAGGAGTTAATAAAGACAAATTTTGTCTTTATTAACTCCTGATATGATTAACACAAACATGCCACTGCCACCTCAGTAGGGGACCAGGGCACAACATTGCACAGCAACGCCCTGAGGTCCCCTGCTACTATTCCTTATGGCGTCTTACACAGTCTGGGCAGATCTTACAATGGCACTGGGGCCCATTTTGCACTTTTACTCTTTTAATTCTAATCACTTTCCATGAAACAATGTGCTAAACAAAACCTTTGAGTAGTAGTTGCAGTAGTTACCTCTCTACCTCTCTACAAGGAGATGAAGACCATTGCATATATATATATATATATATATATATATATATTGTTGAGTATGAATGGAATTAAAAGATACGGTACAAAATATTTGCATGGGTGTACGCAGTGCGTAACACTAGGCACACAATTTCTGCACATTGGTGACCCCTGATGTGTGGAGACAAGCCAAATTTGGCAGAAATATGAACTTTTCCCAGTGCTCTAGCAGCACTTTTATTGACGCACACATTTAATGCACACACATCATCCTGATCTTTTTTTCTACAAGAGAAAACTCCTACCATTTGAAGAACTTCTAGCCAGTACAGCGGCCTACCATCAACACATTTTAGTCTCTCTTTCTCTCACACGAGGGAGCTGCCGCTCATCAAGGGAGCTGGCAAATGTCTCACCTCCCATCTACTGGAAACTGTGTATATCTCCTGGTAATGTCATTTCCCATACGTCAAACTCCTCATACAGACCCGTAGCAACGTTAACGACATTGCGGGTCATGTAGAATAATTGCTCGTATCCTCTAGATTAGTACGGATAATAATGGTAAAAACAACGTCACCACAGCAATATTATATATCCCAGCAATCTCACATTGCCACAATACTGATCCCACTGCCTGCCAACAACAGTCGCCACAAGCGACACACGGCAACTACGGCAAAACGCCGCTGCAGAACTCCTGCGCGATTTCCTGGCAGCCGAGTTGTTGCAGAAATGGTTGTTTCTACGGCGGCAGGAGTGGATCCGATGCAGAGAACATCCAGGCTAGTGCAGCCTTGCTCTGCAGATTACTCACAAGCTCAGTCCAACATGAGTCAGTGCTGTGTTCAGTGTGGTACCAGGTCCTGTCGCTGCTGCAGCAGCAACTTTTCCAGGGGAGACGGACCTGGCGTGGACCACAGCGACTGTAATGTAGACAAAATTCCACGTTAGATATGCTACAGTTAGAAGTCCGATTCACAGGTTCACACAACACGGCTTCTTAGCAGAATTCTTAGTACACGTAGTAGGAACATACAGCTGAAATCAGCAGCAGAAAAATTCATATACGATAAAAGTATAGGAGGGGTAGAAGGTAAAGCAACGAAGCATGAGGAAGTTGATGAGCAAATTTAGAGGTGTATGCGTTTGGTGGGTAGGCCTAGGCCGCACTATGCCGCACACGATACATGGAGTACATCTAGATGTTAATATTTGCCTTACCTGGACGTTGCTTGGTGGAGACTTATCCTGACTGTTGGCGCCTGCACTCGATGCTGGCCAGGACTGCCCAGATGCGCCAGCGGCTGGACTCCTGCTTGTGTCTGCTGCACATGAAAGCATGCAGTCAGACATGTATTGATGGGGGGGGGGGTATCAGGAAATGCCTACGAGCATGAAACACTAGTTGCTCATAGCTATGAAAACTGATAAACTATGAACTAGTAAAACTGTATGTGGTTACAGCATCAAAAGCAGTTTGCGCAATGCACAATACCTTGTTTAGAAACTCCAGACAGCCCCATGGACCATGGGGAGTTGAACAACGAGTAAGTGTTAGAAGCCGGTTCCACACTTCTCTGTACATCCCTCATGCCAAACATGGAGCTATAAAAAACGAGATAGTAAGTTAAAGTGATTGCGTATTCACAGGACATTAACCACAATCGAATTGGTCCTGCACATTTCCAGCACAGGTAGTAGTATATGTGTGTAACAAATGCTGATCATGTCAACAGATGTGATAGATGCACAACAGAATATATCTTTCCACACATTAACCTCCTCACTATTACTGACCTATTACTTTCTGCTGACTCTCTCCCCATATGAACCAAGTCACAATAGCTTGAATCCTCTTGCTGCTGAAAGAGAAGCACAAGCACAACACTTAACAACATTTTAACCACATCAGCATAATTCTATTCACACTACATTCTTACCCATTAAAGATATATGAGGCATTAATCGATTACGGATAACAAAGTTCAAAGGTCTGTCAAGGAAACAGATGATCAATTAAATTAATGCTAACGTTGAACGGATAACTTCTGCCTCTTCATTTATTCAGCAGGGGTACATTCTGGGACATACTGACACATTACTTGTCTGTTATACGTATTAAACATGTATCAGAATGTAGGCAGGAGACACGGATGTTATTATACCCAATACTATTTTCACAATGCTGAGATAAGCATGGTAAAAGAGGCTATAATAGGTGCTACGCCTTCTCTAAAGACAGCCTGTAACTATGGTGACAGAGAAAGCTTGTCTTCTAGGAACTAGAGACTCGTAAGGCTCTCTCATCTTCAACTTACACTGAAGTCTTGGAATCCCTGTAGCGGTGAGATTGCAGCAAGCTCCTGCGATGATAACAAACACCGTCACTATCACCACTAGAGACTCACAATAACAGGTCTAAACAACTACAATAATCTGATGTTTTCTGTTTGTTAGGGCAAGTGACCGTGCCTGAAATTCCAAACATTCTATGAAGATGAATCAGTCTGCCGGTCAGAGGGAATAGATATAGATATATAAATACAACTCTTAACTGCAACAGTGTTCATCAGCTAGGGTTAACAGGACTGGTCAGTGGTCTTACCTGTCGTGGTTCTCTCAGGACAGCATCGAGGGGATAATCTGCATCAAATTCCACCTGCTCACATCTGTGCTCAGCGCCGACGCCCCGTGCGTCCATGCCCGCTATGATCCGCCGTCCCTCCATCACGTGACCCATCCCGTGCGCCTCCATCGCCGACCCCAGGCCTACGATATGTGCGTCCATCGACGACCCTATCCCTGCGTGACTCTCCGATGCTGGCCAGTGGTAGCCACTGCCGCTTGGCGGACGGATGTAGCCGGCAGATCTGGCTAACCCTCTTCCAATCGCATGCTGCTGACCCGGAAACGCATCCATCAGACGTGCGGAGACGGCGTTGTTGTGAAAACTAGCCCGGTTGTGATTCGGTGGTCCCTCCAACCGATATCCAATCGGAGAGTTTCGTGGAGACGGGGTGCCGATGGGTCCGAGACGAGGTGAGGAGTGCAGTACCTCTGGTGGGGGCATGTTTGTATTGCTGCCTACAGGTAGTGGCTGAGACCGCTGAGGGGAGTTCTTCTGCTGTTGCTGCTGCTGCTGCTGTTGTTGTTGTTGTTGTTGCTGCTGCTGCTGCTGCTGCTGCTGGGGATGTTGAAGGAACTGTGGCAGGTTGGGAATCTGCAGGTGTTGAGGCGGGGGCATGGAGTTTGTGAAATGAGAAGTTGGTGGGAAATGCTGAGGTACCGACGGAGGAGGATGAGATGTTGACTGTGACATGATGGGCCGGGGCTGGCCTTGTGGATGAGGCTGCCTTGGACACATGTGTGCAGCCGGGGGAGGCAGATGGGGTTGTACGGGAGGCATGGTGGGATGATTAGTCATTGAGAAGCCAGTTGACATGGCAGGAAATGGCGGGGGAGGTTCCTGAAGCTGTGCTTCAAGAAGTCTCTGCAGAATGTCATCCTCTGGTGTAGTGCTGGTCTGGTGTGACGGGAATGCAGGCATCGCGGCTGTGGGAAGTGGAGGGAAATCTAAAGCTTTGTTTGGCAGCTGTTGCTGTTGCTGCTGTGGTGGCTGCTGCATTGTCGATTCCTGGTCATCTTCTTCTTGTCTCTCAAGCTCTCTGTTCCTTTGCATTATCGCCTACAATCAATGCAACAGTATAGTCATAGATCATAGACGATTACACGTAGCCGCTGTGAATTACCATAACAAAGCACGTATTGTCTGTCACTTGATACCCACTACCAAGTGCGAGTGCTGAGATTCAACCACACCTCTTACCTGTATTGCCACATTTTGTCTCGTTGTTCTCCTATCCTGGATCCTGCCTGCACCCGGACCTTCCTGTATCTTTCCCATGCTACCGCTTCTCCGGTCTCTCGGCACTGACTCACGACCAGAGTCATGTCTGACCTTCTCCCTGGAAGACAGCACAACATGGTGAGAACCGAAAAACCAGAAATCCCAGCTTAGATGAATGAGGGGTGAAGCCACATTGCATTCCACAGCCACCATCACCATTCCAGCACCAACCACAGATGACCTTTTTAACTAATTATCATAATGCTAACCAATAAAACGATGCCAGATATCAGAAGAGACAGTTGAGATGCGGCCGGGTAACAAATGTATCAGTGGATACCTGAAGTCGCCAGGTGTTCTAGCTCCACGTCTTCCCTCTGCTGGGTTACTGTAAGCTCGCTGTCTGGAGTATGGCTTCTCATTGCCGAGCACATCTGACCTACAAACACATTCATCCCATGTGACACCTAACTCTCTGCTCTCTGTCTCCTGGTCTCCCTCACTGCCTCTTACTCTCTTGCTCTCAGTTTCGCTCTTGATCTCTCTCCCCCTGTTGTGCACTCCCTCGTACGTTTTCTCACTATCCTCTCTCCCCCTTTCTCTCTTTCTCTACATCTCTCTCCTGCCTTCCCTCTCCCCATTTCTCTATCTCACTCAGTCTCTCATTCTCTGACTCGCTTTGCTCACTATCTCTGTTTCCCTCTTTTTTTTTCTCTCTCTCTCCCCCCATCTCGTCCTCCTTTTCTCTCATTCTCTCTCTTTGCTCGTTCAGCCGCTTTCTCTTGCCACCGTTCTCTAACCAACCTGCAATTACTCTCATACACATCATGCTGTTACATGGTAGGTTCAGATCTGAGAGACTTACCTGTTCGATCTCATTCCCAGTTCCATGTCGGACGAGAAGCTGGGCCTGGGACTCTGGTTCTTACGCGAGCTCTTTAGCCCCTGTTCGAGTGAGCCCCTTCTTTCCACTGCCTCTCCCCTCGAATCCTTCCTCTTGCAATCACCACTCTCGTCCTTCGCTTCGCGTCGATGCCGTGGTGGGATTTCTGCGCGCTGGCTTCGCCGGTCTTCGTGTCGTTCGTCAGCAAAGTTCACAGATTTCTCCACCTTTCCATTTTCCCTCAGTTCCTTCTTGTTATTATACATCAACCTGACGAGGAGTGGCATTATTCTCACTACCACCGAGATTCTTCCCATGTTGATTTCATTACGTTTCACATAAAGGGCAACTTACTTTTTAGTAATTCCATTTTTAAAGGAAAACTCCTTCTTTAAAATGAGAAATTATATTGGAAATGAATAGCTAATAATAATCTTTAAATTAAACTTCTGGCATGTGCCTATAGGAAAGCTAATTTTATCAATCAAATATACACATATTCACTAAGCTCATGCTCATTGTCAACAACAAGATAAATGCCCCAGACAGCAAAGGTCATTTACTAAATTAAATTCTTATTTAATTGGCAGAGGAATCACAGTGATATTAATCGTAGTGTATGAAATGAATTCACTGAAGGCAAGCCTGTATGGTGCATAGAGCAACATGTGTGTCACCTGTCAATCTCCTCCTCTTCCAACCCTGGCAGTGAAGTGCTCTTGTTTAGATGCTTAGGTGTTTCAAAGTGAAGCAGGCGCCCTCCTGTGACAGTGTGAACCTTCAGCACGCTCAAACTGGGAAAAAACACAAGCTCTGAAAACTAAAGAACCCACGTAGAAGGGTAATTCTAAGACGGGTGTGCATAATCATGCAAGAATCTTGTTATGTACATTATATGCGATGCAGAGCCAGGGTTTCTTCCACGTTTAAAGCCTGGCATCAATGGTACGGTCAAAATCATGGCAATATCAAGCATATCATCCAGATACACACCATCCTTGCAGACTAGAGACTTTGCAGATATAGAAAAAGTGGACTATTAACAAATGTTCAATATGAATAACAGTAACTACCATTCAAATATTTAAGATCTATAGTTATACAACATATCAATAACCATCCTAGAAATAATGGGTAGAGTTGGAACTGTGTGATTATATCATTTATGATGATTACCTCGCCATGTCAGCGGCGAGAGCTTGTCCATGCTCCACGAGACGCGATACACGGAGTTTCACATTTTGTTCCGGTGTCATCAACTCTCTGCTAAACTCCAGACAGCTGCAGTGAAAACAGACAAGAGCTGCTTACTACCAAGCTGTCAAAGCTCTAGTGGTGAAACGATTCACCGATATATCGATATACCGATATATCACCGATATATGATACAGTGGCCAATGACACGATAATCGATATGCAGCGTCCATATCGCGATACAAACGATACGGATGTTAAACAGTGAACAAGACAAGCTAAACTATTTAATAAAGAACATGTAATTCCTTTTAAATTGAATACTCTCTCATGGTTCATACAGGACTGAAAAATGTTTCAAGGACTTTTCAAGGACTTTTCAAGGACATTTTATCGGAAATTCAAGGACATTTTACCGGGCATTTTATCGGAATTCATACACAGAACAAAACATACCTGGATTAATTTAATAATAACCCCATTCTTAATCACTGTCACCTCTAAAGCTTACCTGGATCACATTAATAAACCCTTCTACACTGTCACCTCTACAACATACCTTGATTTAATGACTTACTGTAATTTGTGATCATCATTTAACTGTCTATCGTGTCTATAGCTTTTTAAGCTCATTTAACGCAATTTTTATTGAGGTTTGCACATTATTGATGGTACAAAATTTCTTTTTATTACAGGCAAGGATTCTTTCTAAAAATTCAAGGACATTTTCATGAAATTCAAAAACTTTTCAAGCACAAAATCAACATTTACTAAATTTAAGTACATTTCAAGGACTCCTCTCAAATTCAAAGACTTTTCAAGGACTGTGCGAACCATGTCTCTTTTATTTTATGGACTCCCCCTCAGTATCATGTAGAATCGTAGCTATCCTCAGCCGTTGTAGAAATCTGGGTCAAAATATGTGGCGCCCTTGTATTGCCGCCAAAATTGTTACCGCAAAACAATCAAGTGCCGATTGAAAGGTGTGTGTCGTTACTAGATACGTACTGTAGCACTGTGTATGGCGTGCATGTGAGCAGAGCTTTCAATTACAGGTAAGTCTAGAGCATACTCAGAACATCTTGGTGTGTTTCAACCATAGAAATATATATAGTAACTGATTGTTTACTATATATGCATAAGGCATTGACATACTCATAATACATTTGTGCTATGAAAGTATTTGGAATACATATCAGGGTTCTCCCCAGGATGAAATTCAAACAGGGGGGAGGGAGGGGAGGGGAAAACTAGGGGGAGGGGGGGGGGGAAACTAGGGGGTCGGGGGCGTGTATTTTTACCGTACGACTAATTAATGCGTAAAATCGCACCACACCATAGACGGTAATTGGGGTTCTTGTATATATAGATAGCCGAGTCGGTGTACAGTTAGTGACAGGTTAACTTGTGTACTGTCTTCAGTGCATGCGCTGGTACGTAAATACACGCCGTCTTGGGATCGTCCTTCGAACGGCAAACTTCTGACCGATCGGATTCCTGGCCAGCTGGCAAACTTTTATCGTGCTTGGAAGCGATTCAAAACAGGGGGGAATTTCCCAAAGGGGCGCAACGATTGCAAACGGGGGGAGTTTTCCCAAACGGGGCGCGCGCGCCCCGTTTGCGCAACGTAGGGAGAACCCTGCATATTATAACAGTAAAATAACGTTAGAATTCGACAGTTCATACCGACCAACTATTTCTATCTGCGATCGCAATACGTATCCTTTCACATGTATCATGACTCATGCATCGAGATACGTATTGTATCGTGACCCTAGTGTATCGATACACATCTACAAAGTTCCCCTCCTCTGCAAAATCTCACAGCATTGCGTTTGTCACTTTTAAAGAGCATGGCCGGCCTAAATGGCATAGTTTCACTATCTTCATAATGTACAATGGAATCTATTTGAGCGGGTTACCTGTGCACATTCGTGAGTGGTGCAAAGCACTGTAGGTCTACATCTTCTGGGAGTGGTTGGTCTTTGTCTGGAGCGAAAATGAGGCAGGGATCACCGGACAGTAACGTGTAAAGCACAGGAAAATCTTTAGCAATGTAGAACGGTTCGACCTTTTATTAGGTAGAATATAGTAATAGTGATTGCATGAACTTATATATACCACAATTGTAAACTGTATAAGAAAACAATGATTTCAGAAAAGATCAATTAAAAGATATACAGACAGCTTCACCAAATAAAAATAAATGTATAGAAAATGTAAGGAATAATTTAAATCGTAACGATCAATGTAAATAATTACTTACAGTTGCTGGAGTCAAAGTTGTCTTTTGGCAGAAGTTGAATAATGTTGAGCAATTTTGTGAAACTTGGCCACACCCTACAGCAAAACACATATGGAAACATTGTCTCACATACGGCTTGAATTGCTATTTCTTTATATAGGATTTTTCGCTTGCACATCAATAAATTATACTGCATCACTATAAATACAAAACAAGCTATTCAAAAAGCCTGTTGTGGTGGTTAGTAGAGTGGGCGCTTCTTATGGAGATGATAGCTACAGAAAACATTGTACAAATATGTAAAGAGATGTACTGTTTAAAATTGAGTTCTAACTAGTAATTTGCAATCACAGTCATTTATCAAACAGGACATACACCTACACCAGAATGAGCAAATGAACAAACACACTTACACAACTCTTTCCATGAATGCAGCTTCCTTATAGATGTAGACATGTCCCTTCAAGTAGTCCAGCAGTAGTTTGAGGACAGACAGTGTGTGCATCTCCCTGTGCTTTACTTCCTGCTTGCCCCGACCCACAGCGAAGAGAAGAGCATTGAACAGTGCAGCTGAAAGAAAGATGGTTACACTCTTGATCTACAGGACAATCAATAAAAAACGATACAACAAAACACTGCACATACTTAAATAATTACTAATAATTAAATTATCAGTATCAACCCACATTCTTGTTATAATTATACAACATGAAGTACATTTAGTAAGCCTAGTTTTGTGCTAACCAGTAATTCCTAAAGCAAGTTGATAGCCTAGTTTTTCTTCTTTGCTGAGTAGTTCATCTTCTTTTGCTTCTGCTCCATCAGTGTCCACCAGATGTCGCCGGCAGTGACCAACAGTGAATAGATTTATTGCCAAAACCTGTAAAGAAAATACAAACTTTAGTGTACTGATATGATTCATTTGAGAAGATGCAATTCGATTGCACTACATGACATTACCACCGAAGTACTACTGAGTATTGAGTATTACCGAGTAGTGAGTATTACTGAAGATGCCAGTTTTAAATATTACTGCTCCAGTAACTCTAGAATTTAGAGAAGTGCATAGATAGGGTAAGGTAATTCAGTATACTGGCTGTATTTTTAAGCCAATACATGAACAACTGCCCATTCTGCTTTACAATTAGACATAAGTTAGTATGAAAAGTCTCACATGTATAAGCTGAGTTGCTGACAATGCATTGGAGCACGTATGAATGACCAGATTGGGTGTCAGACGCTCTGCCATCTTCGATGCTTGTTCAAGACCTGCAACAGATTTGCATCTGTATTTACCCTAGTCAATCATTATTGTTCATGTTGATAAAAGTATTACCTACCTAGTTTGGTAACCTAAGGCTCAGTCAAGGGAACCCTACAAAGTGTCTATTACAGACACATGTTCGTTCTAATGCGGTTTCACTATACAACTGCTACTCAAGGGAAATGTGAACTGTTCTTTACACACAAGTGTCTGTTCTTTAGAGGTGTCCAATAATATGCATTTGATTGTAATAATTATTTTATAAGATTAGAACAATTATTATCATGCATAAATATATAAATGATGTTATAATGGAATTAAACACTAACATAACAATAAGCTCAATTCTGTCACTCATTTAACACCAGTTTAATAATATTTAACTACATTAAAACATCCAGACAGAAATAATGTATATGCAAACACTATACCATTATCTAGCAAACAGTTTTAAATGTACGCTACTGTTGCCTATGCCTACCGTTCAGTGGCTTTAAAAAAAAAATGTATTATAACATGGCACTTTTAACATGTAAAATCTGCTGAAACTATAGAAGTACCACGTATATTTCCATTCCATATATTTCACCAATGCCACATGTGTGGTTTAGTGTACCTAAAAAGGTCATCTTATCTGATACCAATTCTATGGTGGTATAATGATATTGGCATAATCTTCCTCTAATTGTCACTTATATTGCATATAATCACGGAGGGAAAAGGATTGAGCAATTTTCCAACGTTTACAAGCAATTTATTAGCACAAACTTATAAAAAATGAAAAAGAAACTCAAGGCTATACCTGCGCCAAGATGAATGTGTGCTTGTAGGTGTAAAAACAGCAGAACAGTTTCGTGGACAGTGAGCCGGCCTCGCCTCCAGTCCAACCTACCGACACACAGAAATGGTAATCATACTTGATGAAAATGTGTTAGCACTAGAGCCGTCACATTATTCATGGTTCGTACAGGAAGACTGAATTTTTTTTCAAAGACTTTTCAAGGACTTTTCAAGGACATTTTATCGGAAATTCAAGGACATTTTATCAGGCATTTTATCAGAATTCATACACAGAACAAAACATACCTGGATTAATTTAATAACCCCATTCTTAATCACTGCATGTCACCTCTAAAACTTACCTGGATCACATTTTAATAAACCCTTCTAAACACTGTCACTTCTACAACACACCTTGATTTACTGACTGATTTTAGTGACTTACTGTAATTTGTGATCATCATTTAACTGTCTATCGTGTCTATAGCTTTTTAAGCTCATTTAACGCAATTTTTATTGAGGTTTACACATTATTGATGGTACAAAATTTCTTTTTATTACAGGCAATAATTCTTTCTAAAAATTCAAGGACATTTTTATGAAATTCAAGGACATTTTCATGAAATTCAAGAACTTTTCAAGCACAAAATCAACATTTACTAAATTCAAGTACTTTTCAAGGACTCCCCCCAAATTCAAGGACTTTTCAAGGACTGTACGAACCATGTTATTATTTATTAAATCTTTATTGCATGAATTCAGATACAAATACATGTACTGACGACAGTTTTTTTCATGGAGAAAAAATCTGATAAAAGCAATAGTGTTGAGTGGTAGTTAAAATGATAAAACCCTATCAGGAATTATTGCGTAAATGGACAGGATCTCGCATTTCAGGTACTGTCACAGAAGTTACTATACCTGTAAAAATCACTGATTATTAGTGTTCAACTATTGTTTGTGGAAGTCATCTGCTAACGCTACTAAAATTATTAACGTGCTGCAAAGTCATAACGTCTCTGAAGCAGCCACTATCTATCAATGGTGAGCAGGGTTCTGGTCCAAATTAACAGTACCTCAGGGCACGAAAACGCACGATCCTGTCCCGCTAAACACAAACAAGTGCTAACATTATGAAAGCAATGCAAGAGACGCCGGTCATACGTACGGTTCCATCCCCATCTTACTGTACAGCTTCTCCAGGTTGGTGGCTGCAACTGGAAAGGGGTGCTTGACGGCAATGCTGCGGATGTAGTAGAATATCGTTGCCAACTTGTCCCCCTTCCCAGCCTCTATAATAGCCAACTGGTTGTAGGGCTGACCTGTTGGTAGAAGTCAAAGCTATATCAACCAAGTTATATCAACCTGATTTTACACCTAGATGATTAGTTATTGGTTCTACACGAAATCGCAATAATTTTCATTGTGTAGTAAGAGACTTCCCTCTTACTAAAATATCAGATGCTAGCTAGCATTATTGGATTTATGATAACACTTGTAGAAAGTCATACAGAATTGTAACAACAAATTATAAAATTGTGAATAATAAAATGATAGTCCTAAAAGAAAGGACATCTTCAGTGTTTCCCCTGGCCAAAAAGGTCAGCGAGTTGGTAAAATTTATTTTGGTGGTTGCGCTATCCGAGGAGCGAGCAATGCGAGCACCGAAGGTGGTCGCCACGCTAGGGGGGTCCAGGAAATTAAAAAAAAATAGTGCAATTTGGTGCATTCTAAGCTATTCTGAACACATTATATGAGACTCTTGAATCACTTTTTCAAGTTGTTAAAAGGAACAAATGAACTACGAATATGAAATGATACAAGTATTCACATTAAATAGTAATACCGTCGAAAATGAGGCAAATGCCTGGAGCGTGGCAAAGATCTTGAAGCTTCCGGTTATTATTTATCTTCTGTGTATCAATGATCTTATGAATTTTAAGTTCATAGTTAATAGCTAATAGTAGTTAATTATTTTTATATGCTCTCATTTGCGTTAATAACGCTTAACAGCATGAAATGTTTTATTTCAACGAAAGCATTTTCCTGGTGTAGAATACAAATGAACACCCATGCGTATGTATGCATAGGTATAGCGCCCTTAATTCGCTGCTGGAGTCAACATGGCGCCTGTGGCGCTCAAGTACATGACCAATCATCTTCCTAACCTGTGTTTATCTATAGGCCTTGCCAAGATTCGCGTGTTGAGAGTATCGTAAGTGCACGGCGTTGTGCTTTAAGTTTGAAGATTTATTTCGATTTTAGCTCAATAAAGTGTAGTTTATTGATGGAAGAACAGTGATTTTCGTCAGCAAGGCGGTGTTTTGGACAAATTTCTGTGGCGGCTGAGAATTTCAGCGAGACGGCCCGCCTCGCTCGTGTCAATGTAGGGGAAACACTGATCTTAATATGAACTAATTATTGCGCTAGTCTAGTTCTAAAGCTTCAGCTGTACATTAAATCAGTCTCCCTGCAAGATACTGACAAAAATGCCTACATACCATTGTAAGGGACGAGTTGAGCTGCGTGCCTGTAATAGGACTCTGCCTGTTGCATTTGAGTACGATAACGAGCAAGGTCTCCCAGGTGAACTAGGCAGTGCTGACAGATGTAATGACAGGAGGTCAACTGCGGAGTGACAGCTCCCAAGCCCTCTGCAGCATTTACCTCTGGAAATGCACAATAAATGCATGAGGACGTATACCAATCAAGCCATCCAAGCTTGCGCTTTGATTATAACTGCCATGTTTGATCAACAGTTTTAATAATATAAAGTAAAATTATCATAACAATGCTTACTAATGAAAGTCATTTAGTATATATTAAATAAAAATATGAATAAAAATAATTTCAGAACTAAGTTTACACACCTTTTAGAATGCCAAGATCTTGTGGTGCCCTGCGATGGGGTAGCCCTAAAGTAAAGGCACTGCACAGAACCTGTAATAACTGTAAATAACTGAATTTAAGTATTACGTTAATGTATCAATAGTGGTGCGCGGTATTATCGGTATACCAGTATATCGCGGTACAAACTCAAAATAAGATGTATCGCGATACATTCTTGCCGTACCGATTAACCACCCCACCTCCCCGGCGCCCCGCGGCGCGGCGCCTGCGAGGGAGCGGGATACTAGCAGTTTAGATAGACTTGTAAACAGGAGCGCATTCTAATACGCCCCGTTCCTGAACGTAGACGGGGTATCCAAAACATCTAGAGCCGAGGGCATGAACTCCCTCAACGCATGATTCGCCACACGAACAAAAACTCGCGACAGTCTAAGAAATCGATTGTGGCATGTAGCGCAGCCCAGTGTTTTTATGACCGCATAATAATAAGTTCATAAGTCGCAGGGGTTATCGTGGGGAGCGAGGGCACGACCAGTGACACAATACACCCACATAATCAAAGCTGTTAAACTGTATATACTTAAAGATTCTAGACACTTGTAACTTTGCGGTAGCATTGATCTATGCATGGGGGTACCGTGGACTGGGGAGGAGAAAAACGAAAGTAAAACCTTTCCCAGAAGCTCCCCCAATTTGACCAATTCTAATTAAGTTACATTTATGCTGTTAATGCCAATGGTTATTTTTATATACTATTTTGTTACTCACTGCTAGTAAATAAGCGGACCACCAACTTTTTGTGCAGGGCCACCAACTTTCTGAAGTTGGTGGTCCTGCTGTCCATTAGGTTTTCAGCCAAAATTCGAACCCTGGTAAACCATCTCCCCTGCACCGTTGGACTCACGTGTCGGTTCCGTGTACATTTTATTTCAGTATACGTCGTTATATGAATTCTAATTCGTTGCTTGTCAGTTGATGATCGGGTTATGTGACAGTTTGGTAAATTTATTTATTCGGATTTGAAATGAATTATTATTAAGTAACCATTCATTTAAAAGTATTGTTGAATCACATGTATTACATTTACAAAAAGTACAAATTCAATTCATTATCAGTGATCATATAATTGAAGCAAAAATTTAAATATTATTTATGAATAAAGGTATTACAACAAAAACATTTATAGATTTCAAATTTCGAAACTTCATTGAATGATTTTAAATCTGTGGCCAGTGACTTGACTGAAGTTAGAATTATCTTGATAAAATCAGTAAACAAAATTGTTGTGTTAATTTATTTTTATGGATCTTCTCCTCATTTTACTACAAAAAAGTAGGGCAAGTGAATATTGCTATAGGGCAAGTGATTTTCAGTTTTACTTGCCCTACAGGGCAAGTGGACTTTCAAAGTTAACGTAGAGCCCTGCACACGCATACATACACAATAAGATAGCCTGCTTGTTTGAATTGTTGTGTTGAGTATTATTAAAGCACAGTCAGACTCTGAACGTTTTACACTGTTTTTCTTGATAGCAGCAACAGGTAAAGATGAGTAATAATATATCGCGAAACAAAAATGTTGGCGATACCCAATATGTATCATATAGTCTCCTTTCAACTCCACACATATAAAAACTTATTACAACAACATATCATTGTTCAGAATAACTCAGATGCAAAAGAATAATTTTAGTAAATACTTATCAATCCCTATACAGAAGAATGCAGTAAACTTCAACTAATATATAAAACTGAATAAATAACACATCACTACCACACCTGCATATAAAATCCGCTGGCTGTCTCCAGAAATAAAGCTAAACTTGATTGAACCTCCACTCTTTTAGGGTTTTTCTTGTCCTTAGCTTGTTGCTGTAGCCATGTGATCTGATTCTTGAATGCATAGTTCCAACTAGATGTTTAATAATTTGAAACAGTTAATAAGAAATGCAAACTAATGCACAATCGGTAAAATACATTGTGACCCAAAATATACAGAAAACAGAATAAAATTATTAAAAACTTTTCACCTCACAAAACAATCCACCATTATTTGGAAACGCCAATCCTATATATATATATATATATATATATAGCACTTCTACATGATGTAGATCACTATAAAGATATTAATGTAAAGTAAATGAATTAGAGGCAAACTAATTATTAGTAGTCAGTGTGCGCAAAAGTCTTGTGTCAACGTGCAAATTTTTCCCCGTGACAAAAGTATGTGCACACTGAATGGTAGACTGAAGTATAATTACTACATTACTTTAGGTAAATAACCTTTTGTGTGCACATTAATTTCCTTTGTACGCTGGTTGCAAATGTGTGTGCGCGCACACGCGCACAGCTTAGAGGGAACACTGATTAGAGGTATAATTTCTATGCTCTTTTGTGATGTATAATGCATTTTCAACTAATGAACCAATATGATTACCAGTACAGATGAAACTAAAATCGAGGAACAATGCATGCACTTACAGATCCTGCTCCACCTTTTTGTCCAAAGCATATTCAAGGTCAAGAAGGAGGAGCTGTTGATAAATATCCTGCAGTCGTTGTCGGCCCGCCCATGCCTCGCTGGCACTCACCCCATTTTGAGACACATTTAACTTCAGTGACTCTGCCTGCCTACAGAGTGGGACATGGAATTAGTTGCAATGAATCTGTGCACGCTTCATCTAACACAGCATTCAACTTGTGATCGATGGCAATCAGTGAATCATTGCATACTTCAATGATATGAATTATGATATATTCTTTATTCTACTTAGATTAGTTTTAATTTAAACACCATAATAGAAGAAATTACGAGTATTTCTACTGCCAATGAGTGCAATCATGCAGCAATGTGCAGACTAGATTACTACCATAATAATTAATAATAATAGTTTTAATACCAAATAAAAATGCTCGCACTGTCACTGATAACATCACTAGTAGAATGAGACAGTATATTTATATTCGGATGTGTTTATTTTAGAATGTGACAATTAGTTTTTTCAACGCGTGCCTATGACAAATGATAGATAGGTTCTGGAACTTGTAATTTGTGTATTTTCTTAATCAAATCCTGACTTTTTTAACTTCAGCTTTCAGGGTGATAGGGTTGCATCAGTTCCGACTAACGTTATAAAATTAACATGAAAAATGAATCCATGGTGTTATATACTTACTGTACCAGCTGAGCAGGACTAAATCCATCAGCATAATCTGTCATCTCCCAACTTTCATTTGAATTTGGGGTAGGCAGCTTAACTTCATATGTCTGGCTGCCATGTTGTTTTTGGTAAAAGTTCACTTCCGCTTCCTGACGGAAGTCGTACTGCAGCGCCGCTAATATTTCCATGGTTACACAATTACAAATTGCCTGTCATGGATTACCTCGGTAGCAAATATACTGGTGATAGGAAGAATGGCAGGTCAGGTCTGTTTATTTCATATGTTGAGCCTATAACAATGACATTTACATGAGTTATGATGACACTCGCCTGCTACTTCTAGTTCTACGTGACTGTTAGGCCCACAGGCACTTGAAGCGTTTCAACTGTAATTTGTAAACATACGCCGCCGCCATTGCGCGCACACTGAGTCACACATAAATATTTATTTATTTTTGGGATCGCGCTTTCTCACCTGCTATATATTTATTAGTGCGTTCGATTTGATTCCCCAGAGCCACCTGGGTTAACCTGGGTACGAAATCGAACGCATCTGGGTTAGGGAAGATAAACGAACGGTTTTTGGGTTAACCCGGGTTAATTATCATGGTCCATGGGCATGGATGCCAGTGACAATAAAAAAAGAATAGCAATTGTAATCTTCTTATTAATGAAATCTAAGAATGAGCGGCTCAAGGATAGAGAGCATGTCCAGTAATAAACATCATCCTATCCACTCGCCGTCCTTGAGCAAACACACGCAGTCATTCATGCAGCACTGATCCCGCACTGATATCGTCGCCATGCATGGTGTCGTTGCAATGGATTGAAATCAACACACGCCAGTCATCTCCACTGCTACATTCATTGGCAGCACTGATCCCGCACTGATATCGTCCGCTCCATGCAAGTGTCGTTGCATATGGATTTGTCGGAATACTTCCCCCCCCCGCAAGTAGTCACCTCGCGAGCCGACCGCTCACTTCGTTCTCACCCGGGTGTGACCCGGGTAACTGGAAAAAAACCACGTGTACTGCCTAAATCGAACGTATTTGGGCATGGTGTATGCAGGGGGGGTCGTGAGGGTCGCTCACGAGCCGCCCCCCAAAATTTAACAAGGTCCACATTTTTTCTCCAGACATTTTTTTTTCGGGGCCTTTTTACAATGACATAAATGAACAAGATCAGGTACACAATGAGTCCAAAAGACATTGCCATTGCGTGACGTAAGATCTATCCCAATTCCAGCAATTCTGAAACTGAGAAGCCTTTTTTTTAAACAAAATTTGTTTCATAAAGAGAGAGACAAAGACCTGACAAAGACAAAGACAAGAACAAGATATAAGACAAAAAGTTCAAAAAACTGGTTTTTCAACTGAAGTCAGAAAACTCTTTTTTTAAACTGATAAATTTTTTTTGTGAAACAATTTTTTTTGTTTTAATTAAATTGTCAGGGCGTGTACAGCGGGGGTCCCAGGGGTCCGGACCCCCCGCTCGCGCAGAAAACGCATCGAAAGGAGGTCTAAAATTTCAAAAATTTTGGGGCGAGGGCCCAGATACCGCGCCAGATCCCCCCTTCGCGGCTCACCAAGTTTTCGTTAGGGTTAGACCCCCCCTGGTACAAATCCTGGTACACGCCCCTGATTTGTATTGACTTGTATCACACAGACTTGGCTGCTATTAATTGTGAAAAGGTCCAACAAATTATGATTACGACCCACCAGAAAAAAATCCTGGATACACCCTGATGGGGCTGCCCCGACGTAGACCCAGGTTTAACACCATCTGAGCAACAAATAGAAACAAAAGGTCCCTATATGATGTGTCCAGTGTGCGCGCAATGGCGGCGGCGTGTGGTTTACAGTTGAAACGCTTCAAGTGGCGCCGTGGTTTAGGGCCTACTGGCACGAGCAGATGGGTTCGTGTCGTATCAGTCTTACACTACAGATAGATATTGTAGTGCTAGACCTGATACGACCAAACGACCCAATCTGCGTATGAAGATATGCCATCTGATGATAATGGCCATCTTGAGTATGGCATCTGGAGGCAACGCAACCCATCTGAAGATATGGCCCACCGAGGTAGTTTAGTTGTTTAGTAGGGCACTATTATGTTTTAATAATTGTTATAATATGATGGTAGTTTTAGAGTAGCGGTTAGGGCTTAGGGTCTAGGGTTAGGTTAGGCGTACACTTCTGTAGCACTGCCAGGCACTGTTGAAGCGTCTTCAAATAAAATATGATACGCAGTGGTCGCGTGTGCCTGTGCATCGCGACAGTTAATATATAGAGGCCTAGCTATATATTTAACTGTCACCGGGCACAGGCACCACACCCCTGCGTATCATATTTATTGAAACGTTTCAAGTGGCCTGTGTTCTGTAGTAACAAGTCCTGGTAGCACTTTGTTATATCACATAATGTACTCGGGTAATATGACTGTAGTACGCCTGAATACGACAACGACCACCTTCAGCCCTAACTGCACTAACCTGAGTACTCTTACTGTTGTTCTTACTTCACTATGCTTAGTCAGTTAAGTACTACTGTTAGTGTTTGCAGGCTGGCCTGCTGTGCCATGCCCGATACAGGCCCACTTGAACGTCCTCAATAAATGGAAAAAGTGTAAACATCGAATAGTTATTTTTACTGACCAAGTTTTAATGTTTCTCTACTCTATTGGCGCCTATTTATTGGCCCGATAATTACCCCGTAACATGTCGTGCAACATGCTCATGCTGCAACACACAGTAGCACGCGACGGCGGCTGCCCTTGCAACAAACAACATGAATGAAGAAGAGTTAATTTCGTGGTTTATGTTACCTTTTTTTTTTAAATTGAGATGTTCCAAGTGGCCTATGCTGCCTGGTAAACATAAACACTGAACACTAACCTAAGCAGTAAAGTCATTTATAATAGCTGACCTAAATAAGCTGGTTTACTCCCGAATCCGATACATGTCAAATTGCATTAGGGCCTACTACCTGGGTGACCTCATGCATTATTAGCTCATCTGACCTAGTCCAATGCCAGCTTGATAGAATCGCATTGAGCGTGCGTGGCGTGCGTCCGTCTAAACAGTTGGGCACAATCTAAACGGCTCGTACGTACCGGATTCGAAAGTCCGGCGAACTTGGGGGTAATACTAAAGGAGTTGGGCATGTCGAAGCTGGGGGTCAAGAGGTCAAAAGAGTTCAAAGAGGTGTAAAAGAAGGGGAACTTAACTGCCTTAACTTAAGGTATCGGAGGAAATCGCAGATGCGGCGCACAAATCTTAAACTGCTGCGAGCTAGCTCGTGATAGTCGGTGTAACAGCATCAAAATGGGGTAGGACAGCCTCACTGTGCGAAATTGGAGGTCACAGGTCAATGGGCACAGGCCAGATTTAGACATTTGTCTGAGGACATGGTCTGATGAGCGATTGAAAAACTTTTTTGTTTTTCCGGGCGGTGACCTAGCATTTTTATGGCTTTAATTGAAAGGAACGCATCGAAATGTAATTTCTGCTGACATGCGAAGAGTAAGTGTCGGATAACCTTTTGACCCTCAAAGAGGCGGGTTTTAAACATGATCTCTTTTATCTGTTAGAAAAGAATTTGACTCCGCGCCGGGTTTGCTAGTAGAATTCTATACATGCCTTGGATGTAGTGAGGGCTAGCAATGTCACAGTGAAAATTTCAAAGGCTAAATTTGGTTGAGTTTTATGCTCCTTAATCGTACTCAATTTCTATGGCATTCGCGTACTGTTCAGTTGTGTTACATGTAACGTATGCCACTGTCAGGGTTACATGTAACGTATTCCACTGTCAGTGTGTTACATGTAACGTATGCCACTGCAGTGCCACTGCCAAGATGGCCAGTGCATGTGGTGGTGGGTAGCCTGTGTATGTTTTTGCGCTGCGTTGATTAGTTTACAGGTGGCAGCTCTCTATTTTAGCGGCT